GTGTTGGCCACTGAAACGACTTCGAGTTGACTTTCAGAATCACATTATTAGAAAGAGCCATAAAGTTTTAAGCAGTCAAAAAGACATAAAGAGAGCGATGTTGTAGGCTAACTCACAACCACAAAACTTCCTGTGACGGAATAGCACGGTTTACTAGCACAAAATTCACCCTGGGTTTATGCAAGGTTTTACCAGCCTCTATATTTAGAGTCAGTCAGAAATGATACCGTCAATCCAGAGGTATTAAAATATATGATTTTTTTTTTAAAACTCAACACTGAGTGTTGAAGTACAAAATGGAGACTTAAAATTATTTTATCAAACGTTTCAGCCATGCTTTTTTAAAAACCATTCTCACTTGGCATTAGAATAGTTTGGAAATAAGCATATGTTTCTGTTTCGTTCCTCTTGATGGTAAGCTACAGACTAGTGGAATTTTTGTTTTGTTTTATGATAGCTGTGGCCTGTTATAGTATTTATATATTGTGGTTCTAGTGGACTTCACAGGGTATTTCACCATCTTAAGTGAGATTCCAATCCAAAGGAATCATACTGTACATGTTCCGTGCAAAAGGCATAGGGAATAAGGGAACATCGATACATGACTTCACAGGAAGTAGAGAGGGAAATTTACCCACCAGTCACTGCTATACTTATAGTACTCAAGCTCATTTACAAGTTCATAATATTACTTTTGGGGTCTGCTAGAATACATCGATGATATATAGTTCAGGAAACATTATTTTTCTCATACTGTACTTGATCGGCTTTCAGCTCCCAAGGCCGTGGCAACTATGATGTCGGTATTCGAAGTCCAGCAGCAAAAGAACAGTATCTCCTCGACATAGCCAAATCACTTACTGAACTGTACTTTGAGGGCGGGCCAAAGCAGCCAGTAGACGGGTTTTATGCAAATGTGTGTAACGGATGTAGGCCAGTAAGAGCTGTGAGTGTAAACCTCACTCCCCTGGTCTCAAGAGGCTTGCTAGCATTGTTAGCGGCCGGCCTTCGCCCAGTTCGAATCCCATTTGGAGCGGGTCAAGTAGGACTGGTTACTATTGGTGCCGTGACCCGGACCGGAGTGAAATTTAGGGGGATGAGTGTAACGGAAGAAGGCCAGTAAAAGCTGTGTGTGTAAACCTCACTCCCCTGGTCTCAAGAGGCTTGCTAGCATTGTTAGCGGCCGGCCTTCGCCCAGTTAGAATCCCATTTGGAGCGGGTCAAGTAGGACTGGTTACATTTGGTGCCGTGACCCGGACCGGAGTGAAGTTTAGGGGGATGAGTGTAACGGAAGAAGGCCAGTAAAAGCTGTGTGTGTAAACCTCACTCCCCTGGTCTCAAGAGGCGTGCTAGCATTGTTAGCGTGCCCCCCTTCGCCCAGTTCAAATCCCATTTGGAGCGGGTCAAGTACGACTAGTTACATTTGGTGCCGTGACCCGGATGGGAGTGAGGTTTAGGGGTGTGAGTGTAATGGACAAAGGTCAGAGCTGTGCTTGTAAACCTCACTCCCCTGGTCTCAAGAGGTGTGCTAGCATCTGACGCTAGCTGCTGCAGTCTTTAGCGTCCTTGTAAGTGCTCGCTTCCCACTTCGGAGACCCCGGTTTGAATCCCGCTTGGAGCGGGTCGAGTAGGACCGGTTACATGTGGAACATGGTGACATAACTAAGTCGTGGAAATAATGGCAGGACTACAAACAAGGCTTTTCAGGCAAGTCCTAGCAGGCTACCATGAGCAAGGTCTGACACACCTTGACAGTTTTCCACCTGAACCATAAAGTTGGCACAACGAACCTTAGGTTTCTTACCTAAGAAGGATTCTTACCTGGTGTCTACCACGACTGGTTGGATATGGTACCTCTGGGTTCATACAATCAAGCCATCTTTGAAACTCCTCTCGGGCATGCAAGTGCAGATCCTATCTCTTTGAATTGGGAAACATCAAATTCTCCAAAACTGTTTGCCAAGCTTACGTTTAAATTTCATATTTGAAATCACCAATGAAATCTGACAACAAATGTCTCATCAATTTTGTTTCTAAACGCTCGAATCATGACAGAAAACGGTTTTGTAATGCGCAGTGGATGTGCGAATCTGATTGTTTCTATAGGAACCGGAGCTTCTAACGGCTGCAGTAACGCGATGATTTTACCAATCTACGATTGGCTCTTATTTGGAAGGCGGGACTTATTCCGCCATATTGAGTATTGCACTTTTCCCCATTCAAAACAATACGAGTGACGCGTCTTGTGTTATTCTATAGTCTTTGACGTTACAGAGAACCTTCTTGTGCAAGAAGGCTTTGCTCCTTGAGGAACCTCGAATGATCAGCCAGGAAAGACACATTTCTCTCTACTCCTGAAACCCCTGGCAGGCCGTCCATGGCAGCTTCCCCTCAGGGATGATCTTGTGTTTCAGACTCGGGTGGATGTGTTTGGCACCCAGACTCAGCTGCAGCTTTGGGTTTGGACCACGGATTCAACCCTTGCAGTTGCAGTACCTTGCAGTTGGTCACACTATTACCAGAGCCAGAGCTGGGAGCTTCTCAATTCTTATTTGTGCATCCTCGCTTCCTTTCCTCATGTCTCAGCTCCACCCCCTGTAGGATGCAAGTGAAGGCTGCAAGGAAAGAAAATGAGGACGGAGGAATCAAAGGAAAGCCTATTTGTATACTGGAATATTCTTGATCAATCGAGCGTCACTTCAAAGCGTCAAAGGATTTGTCCTATGTAGTTAAAGTTTGGTTATTTAAGAAATTAATAAACAATAACTTAATTAAGCACGATGCCCTGTTGATATATGCGTGATGTATGGCTTATTTAAACTGCAAAGGTAAAGAATAAATTTAAATTATTGTGACCGTTGTGAAGGGGGAGGAGAATTTATACGTGCGTCAGGTTTCTCAACAAGAAAGACTTCTGTATAGGATATACACCTGTGCATCCTCACTCATAGTTCCTCTGGAAGCTTCCTCGTGCCTCGCGATGCAATTAGAGAATTCAGATGTCCTCAAAAATGGCTAAATTCGGCCATTTAGCCAGTTTCAGTTTCCGGGTCACATGCTGGAGGACCGAGGAACGAGGAAACTTCAGTTTGAGAATTGTGAAGCACCTTATGTCTCCTTTTAGAAACCTTTCCTTTCCTATACCTGATATTTTGGATGTTGACATTATGTAGAGATCTCAATTGTCACTCCATTAGACCATTTTTAGTGACTTGGGCTGCCTTCTACATGGTTTTCTTGGCTGACATCTGCACTGCTGCCACCTGGGATTCTCTTTGGCTGCTTTCACAAGGTCAATTCTGCAGTTTTTCCGGAGCAACCTTGACTACTTTTTCAGGTGATTGTGGAGGAATGAAAGAGGACACTAGTTGTGTAAGTGTAACATGGTTCTATGATTTCTGGATAGCTGCCAAAGTTTGTTTTCTTTGGCCAGTAATCCTCACAGCTCAGCCCATGTCATTATGTGACTTTGTTGGTGTTTATTTCAACCTGTTGGTCTGGCACTGCGATCATCCACTTGTTCATAGTGCCGCCTGTAGCGGTCATCGGGAAATCACCCAACCACAGTTACCTAACTAGTTGTTTAGTGGAAGACATTGGCATGGTAACATTGTTTTGCTAACAATATTACTTTATTAATACACAATACAGTTGTGCGTCACAAACTGATGCACTGCTTAACAAGCACTTTCTAGTGATTCTTGTTTTAACATGCATTTCAAACTCCAAAAAAAGCATATTAAGGTAAACAGACACAGGAAACCGGTTTTTGTTTTTCTATTAAAAATAATTTATTCCAGGACCACATATAAATAATTCTTGAAACACATTACAGATAATATTTGCTGTGAATAAATACCAAAACAAACCAAAAAACAAGGCTTTTCATACAATACTCTATGAAAGGTTGCACAAAATTTCTATCTTATCATCTATATTCCTCTAGGTCTATAACTGGAATGTCACTAGTAAGTCAGGAGTACCGTTCCTAATTCCAGAGCAGCTTATTAAGTATTGTGCAAGTTTGTGATGATCTGAACTGACTGAACAGATCCAGTAGTTGAAGAGTAGACACTCTTAAAATTTATGATTCGACTGCAAATTTTTCTGTGTATCATTTATCCAAAGCACATTTCTGTATAGGCCCACATTAAACTAATTCTCAAGTAGACAAAGATAAATGTGGTTGCACAATATTGGACTTTAAAGATGGGAATGTTTAACACAGACAGTTATTTCTTTATAAATGATGCCACAGAAGCTAACTCTATCTTTTCTCTTTACGTCTTTGCAGATATTTCGGAAATATTCAAATAGAGAATGTCAGTTTGTGCATACTAAACATATGCAAAGGATAGACTGAGGCATTGTGTGTTTAAAGGAGAGTAGTGCAACCAAAAGAATGTGGCTGGGCAAGAACAGCAAGAAACAGGGACTTCACAGATCTAGGAGCGGGGCGTTTCCTACCTGGGTTCGTTTATGTTTGGACTGATACGTTTTCGCTTAGCTGTTTAATCCCGACGGGGATTTCAGACATCGCAAAGTATTTTCTCGTCAAAGTGTTTTTTACGTCCTTTTTTTGGCACGCCAATTCCCTTCAGCTTAATGTAATTTCATCAGCTCTATTCATCGGGGAGGTGTCAAGTATCTGGGTTTCATTGCACTTAAGGAATTTTTCAGCCACAGAAAAATGAACATATCCATTCAATAGAACAGACCAAGTCATATGAAGTTTAGCAAGGCAAGCAAAAGTGAAAAATAGTTTCAAGAGCAAGAAGGACTTGCGAAAAAGTGATCAATGGTAAACAAAAACATTCTCAAAGGCAACAGATTCGTTCTGCTTGCAGACATCACATGGTGCAGCAGGAAATGAAATTCGAGCTCTGCTTAGCGAGCTCTCATTGGCACTTAACCTACATTTTATGAATAAACTATCAAATGCTGTCCTTCGGTGGTCTCTGCATACCCTGTTGTACGTCTCATTCCTGTACTTCCAAAAGGCCTGTTGGCTTTCTGCAGTCCGCAGTGGCGATGCACATTGGCTTAGACACATTCAGTAAATTAACTTTGGTCAAATTTGTTTCTAAACTGATCAATTCTTATACATGCTCACGTCAATTTTTCAAGAAAGTTTGCAATTATTTACCCTGTTCAATATAAACAGCAGACGCCACAGGTGTGTGACTAGACGTCACTGTGTATCATAAGTTTCTGTATGCTAGCATCTCACGTAAGTCCTATACACACACACACATGATACAAATGACCAAAACTTCATTTGAGAGGTAATCACCAATTCTAGAGCACCACCGGGCTTTTTAGGCCCTGCCCAAGACAGGTGGAGGATTTTGGGCACAAAGTTCCTTGTGTAAGAGTGTTCGCCAGCATGCACAAGAATGCACGATGAACTAGGCCCTTTTTGACATTGAACTGTTTAGTCAGCCTCGGTAAATCTGCTTGAAGTGGTCACATTCGTTACAGTAGCCTTGTTTCTCTTGATTGGCGTAGTGATCGCAGCCCTGCGTCTTGCAGCGCTGTTTGCTTTTCTCTTTGGGCGCCTGGGCACGCCGACCCTCTCGCTGGCCTCGGGTGATGCAGTCCGGGCACAGCTCTGTGCAACCAGGGGACAGGTTCTTACAACCGCTACGCCGACACTGAGCCTGGGTGAGCACTGGCGGTGGACGTGGTTTCGAGGCCCGCTGGACAGAAACAACAGAGCTTGTTGCTTTAATGGTTCTTCAACACTTAAGCAGAGCCAAACTTCCCCCACAACAGCAAATAAGGACACTTACCGTGACAAGAGGTGGGGAGTTAGAGCCCCTGCTAGCAGCTTGGTTGAGTCTAGCGCTTTGCTCCTTCACGAAGCACTTGTTGCAGTAACCCTCCAGCATGGCCTTTCCCTCGGCCCCGCATCCCTGACCTCGGCACCGTGGACAGTTCTGGAAACCCGCCTCGGACGTGTGCCTGGGCTGGACAATAGCAGGGGTGGCCTCTGTACGGACAAAGAAAATCACACGTTTGCTCCTGTGGTCGAAGTCACAATGTCTATGAATTGCTTCCTGAACCCAAAAGGAAGTGGAGACTTTATAACCAGGGTTTAAATTTCACACCCGCCAACGTGTTACTTATTATGTTTACTCACTTTGCTGGGAAGTTTATGTAGGCCAAATTTGTGCAGATTTAGCGCAAATACTCGACTCCTGAGTCATCATGATATATTAAATACAGTGTATTGCGCAGCGTAGTTAATCTGGAACATTTGTTCTTCTTTTAGTCTAAGTTCTGAATGGCCGGAAATTCACATTTCAATTCGATCCACATTTATTTGTATAGCGCTTTTCATAGAAGATGCATGAGTCCACGTTACAATTTAGAGTGATCTGTTATGAGAGATTAGTTACGTATTTCAGAAATGTACATATACAGAATCACAGTTAGCCAAAAATGTATTAACTTAAACAATGTAATAATTTAAGGCGGAAACAATGAGCTCATTGAAGTAATGAATACTTGTTTGTTAACAAATGACATTTAGAAAAATGTGGCATTGTAGGTCACTTAAAAATGTAGGAACCAAATTAGCCGGTGCGTGAAAGAGTAAATTTCAAACCCTGATTATACTTGAGAGATGATATTTCCTTGTTCATTAGAGAGATACTACTAGAATTGTGTGTGAATGCAGAATAGTTGCACTTACGGTGATTGGTCTGGTAGTCTAGATAACATATAGTGCAGAATCCCAGCTTCTCTGCCGTCCCGAAGAACTGGCATCCGGAGCGTTTACAGGAACGGGCGGCAGGCGTTTGCCAGGTGTGTCCGGTGGTGCCCGTGCGTTCGGTCTCCCGATGCGTTGCCCACACCGAGGCTTCAGTCGAAGGCTCCTCTTGCTGGGCATCTCCCCTCTCGGAAACAGCAGTCCTCTGCATGCAGGGCGGGCAAAGACCATTGAATATCCTAAAAACCTCCTGTCGACACAGAACGCATCTCTCGGTGTCCCTTTCTCGTTCTCGTTCTCTTTCCCTCTCCGTTTCCTTCTCTCGTTCCCGGCCGCCTTGCGCCCACTGACCGTGGCACCATCCGTGAGACGGCCTGTTGGCAGCGGACCGGTTTTGCCTCGCCGTAAAGCAGCGTTCACACAACCCGTCGTGCTCCACACTGAGTGTGAACAAGCATCCGGGTGTCTTGCACTTCATGGCGTGAGTCTCACTGTAAAGGCTTAGACTTGGGGCCGTAGGGGGAGCAGAACGAGGGCTAGGAAGGACCGAGCGCTCCAGTCTCCCTCGGCTCTCCGGGTCCGAGGACGACGAATGATTTGAGCTGGAAATGGCCTCTGGTTTCCGCCCCGCCTGCCGCTTTTCGAAGCACTCGTGACAGTGGGGTTGGGTGTCCACCGAGACGTAGAAGGTGCATCGGGGTGTGGCGCAGCGGATCTCGATGAGAGAGAGTTGTGAGACTGAGAAGGGAGGGGGACGCTGGGATTGGGGGGCCCATGATGACTCCTTATCCTCTTGCCAGCGCTTATATTCATGGTTTACCAGTTGTAGGTAGTCCTCCATCAGGTTCATATCCTCAGGTAGGTTGCCTTCATCAAGTCTGATGGAGGAAGGATTCAAGATTTTAAAAAAGTCAAGTCACCTTTATTTATATAGCGCTTTTTACAATACAGATTGTTTCAAAGCAGCTTTACAGTGATAACAGGAAAATAATGCAACAAAGGTTGTTTCCAGAAGAAAATAGTGTCATAGTCCAACTTAAATAAGTTCACTTTATGTTGTTGTAAAAAAGGTATTCATTTTAAGCGCCATAACTTTTTAGGGTTACACTGAGGAACAACCAGCAAGACTTCAACAAAGAGTGTATTTAACTCATACCTGGCCGCAGTGATAATCTGTGTGGGATCGTAGCCCAGGCCAATGACAGGGATTTCTATAAGCATTAGGTAGTCTTTTAGCAACTTCTCCTTCTGTTGCTGCTCCTTTTCTGTCAGGAAGTGCAATCGAAGCTCCTCAAACCCTCCCCGTCCCGGGTTTATCAGCGGCACCGCACGGATCTCTGAACGGGTCACAAACATCACATATTCAAATACACTGGGCCGACTATTACCACTTTTTTTTTTTCCGTCAATGAGTTAGTTTTAGTTTGATCATGTTTTTTATTTCATATTTTGTATTTTTAGGGGATTTTTTTATACTAAATTATATTTATGCTGTATTTATAATCCATTTATACACTTTTTAAGCGACGACCTGAAAATTTCATTTCCAACTTAAACTGCGTAAAACTTGAAAGCTTTAAAGCAACAGATCTCTTTAAAGACGACACTTGGCGGATTATTGCTGAAGTGAAAAAAGTAAAAAAACAAAACAAGTAAACTTAAAAAAAGGAACAGAATTTTATGTTAATTGTTATGAAAACGGCACAAAAATACTATTTTCAATTTTTATATGAAGTATATATTTTCTAAATCACGTTTTACTATAAAACTGCAAGAAAATCAAAGCCATTAATCTAAATAAGTTGTGTTCCAAATTTGACCATGATATCTCAAAAAATGAGCTTTCAATAAGATTTTGTTTGGCCGCAGTACCAAAAGTTTCCACTAGATGAAATTCGTCTCCCATTCATTTCCAATGCGCTCATTTTAGACCGCGAGGAGCACAAGTGTCCATGATTTTTTTTTTTGTTCACACAACAAGTGCAAAAAACAAGTTTTGTACCATTCCAATGATTCTTAAACTTTTTCAGGCAACAAAAGTAGTGCAATGTCTAGTGACGTACCTGGGCCACTATCTTTGATTGTGATCAGGGGTGCAAAGTGCTGGGAGTCATATCCAAGCACTATGGGATATTTGTAGCATTCTCCGGGAGGCCAATGCAAAGGCAGGTATATGCCCCCCACATTGAGGGGTGAAAAGGAGGAACCAGACTTCATACTTCTAAGTACTTGGTCTGTTGAGAGAAAAATCATATATTATGGTCATGTCGATGCACATGTGTTTGTGCAATTCTATTGAAATGCTCCTGTGTTACGGATACGTACCTGCAATAACAATAATTGGCCTCCGTAGAATATTTGAAAGCACAAATATGTGAATATCCTCTAAAGAGTCAAACTGTAGGCCATTACTGCTGGACACTGGAGAAGCCATTTCTACAATCTTAACCCATTCCTCCTCCCAGTTCTGAGAAGCAAAACAAATTGCAAACATCCATGAGTTATACCCTTGTCATATCCAAAGGACAATGTTATGATTTTTTTGCCTGGCTGTTTTGGACAATTTTGCATGTTCGTCGTGAAGGCGGAAGTGCTTACCAAAGTGCTGTATCTCAGGCCGGTCTGGGTGAACTCCTGCGAGTGCAGAAGCTCTGTCTGAAAGCGTGTCCTAAAGTTACTAGTGTCTGTTTCCTTCAGTACTGCGTAAAGAGCCTTTCTGAGCACCAGGTCTGTGTCCTGAACCCCTAGTAGATACTGAGAGGCTGCGTGAAGCAGGCAGTTTCCATCACCTAGACCAAAACACACAAACACAGATTATATCTCTGGACAGTCACAACCCAGCAAGCAATTTTGCGTTTAAAAGACGTCTAATGGCAGTCCAAACACAGCCCTGACGTCTAGGCAAAATTTGGACTCTCTGTCAGTGAAAATTTACTAAAAAATGGTCTAAACCATAACCCAAGAATAGACTAGTCATCAATTAGATAACAGAGAAATTAAATGAGTAACGAAATGAAACCAAACAGCTTGTAATCATGGTTTACTACATGATGGAATATCATATATCTTGAAAGTTATTTTGGCAAAAACGACATGTAAACAAATTCAAGGTTATTTTGGCTAGAAGTGTGTTCCTCATAGTCGGACTATATTGGGTCTATAGTTAACCGAGACGGTGAAATGACTGGGAAGGGCTTGGGACGGTGCATGTTTTTGTGGTGATTATACTGTATGTGGACATTATTATCCTGAGGCTCCAGAGGAATTAATCACAAATCGGCATTCAGTTTCTGCAAACATGGAAGCATGCAGGTCTGCCATTATACAGTCAAACCAAAAATGAATCAGACACCAGATATATTCTTTCACTAGTGTGTGCAGGACACTATAGTTCATTTATGTAAGTGAGGAGAGCAAAATAAAGTAAACTGTGACATATTATACCCAACAAATTCTTCCTACAGTGGATTGGGGCCAAACATTATTCAGACACTTTGACCTGACCACGTTTTTTTCTTTACTTGTTTATGTGACCTTTTTACACCACAAACTGAACAAAAATAAGCATTGCTTGGTAATCGGTTGACCTAAATTGGTATGATCTAATTGTGTAGTTAGATTTAACATCTGACAGATATTCAACATAATTAATTTGTGAGAGTCAAACCGAGTTCTGCTCATATTGTATTACCATTTTCTAAACTATAGCGAATAAACTGTGATAATGTGAGAAATTTTGAAGGTGTTTGAATAAATTTTGGTTTGACTGTACATGGGATGTCCTGAAGGATAGCGTCACCTTCCACATACATAATCACGTTTGCAGACAGGCTTTGCTTTACTTTGAAAAAAACCTCAGGTCATAAAAGTTCGTAAAGGACATATTCATGCATTTAAAAAAGGCTATGAAACTTGCAGTTCCTGTTTGGACTTTCACAATCATCAAAATTGACATAACATAGAGAGCCTTAGCAACCGGTTGGCATGCATTACATAGCTACAAAAAAAATAGAAAACTACATATACAATCTTTGCTTTGTTGTTGCATACACTGACGGCAATATCTTTTACACCTAAAGGTTAGTTCAGCTGTGTTTGTCAAGACGCAAGATTAAGGATGAGATAAAAGCAATTCAGGGGGATTTCCACAAGAGTTGTTAAAGCAGTTTAAAGATATCAGTTTCATCCAAACTGTGTGCATTTTAAAAACAGAACATGTGACCATATCCATGCAAAAGCAATTAAATCAACTCCTCATAACAACCCAACAGCAGTTCGAACATGTAGGGGATTTTTTTTAGAGTCTCAAAACTCTTTATATACTTTAGTAAATCACTAACTTTGCTGTAACCTAACCATTCAGTAACTTGAACACTTAAAAAAACAAGCATGCTCTGCAGAACTTTGTACATGGCCTAGATTATGTGTTCTTTCTGATGTTGTGCAACGTGTGCTCAAGTGCATTCGTACGCATTTGCATGTGCGCGCGAGCTTGTGTGAAACAACTGTGAGGAATTTCCCTAGTATGTGATTCTCTGATTAAGCGCCGTAAGGGCTTGACTTCAACTTTTTGACTCCTCTTGACACCAGAGCCATGATATAAAGCATCTGGACTTTCCAGAGAGGAGGGCCGATGCTGTACAGGAATGCCTGTGCCGTGCCCATGCCATCTCTAGGGCCGATAAGGGAAGTCTGAACACATGATCTAGTTCCTGTTCTTTAAACCTGTGCTATTGTTCAAAGCCATGGTTTGTGTCTGTACCTGCTGCTATCAACACAAAAGACCAAAATGTTCCCAAGTAGATGGAGGTTTTAACCCGTCTATGCTTTATATGGAAACTATTTGTACAGTGCATAATATACAGTGTTTTCTTTTTGTTACACAAGAGTAAGTTTCAACTCTCTACATCACCTCTAAATCATACTCTCATTAACATATAAAGAAATGGATCTGAATTGATAACATTACAAATAAACTCGAACTATCTAAAAGTAGTACTGCTAACTTATAACAACAACTAACTTAGCCACATTTCCCAGAAGCACTTTTCAAAATATGTAGTTTTTCCAGTTACAAATTGTTAAAGTCCCCCTGTGGTGAAAATCCAGCTTTTCATGTTGTTTATGTGTCTATGTGGTGTTTTTAATATGCTGTAAGACAAACCATGTGTAAGTTCATAAGTCGACAGCATTGCTGAGTATTTCCTCCTTAAAACTGCAGTGAACCAAAGACAGTCTCAAACACACGCTTTGAAATCGCTGGTGTTTCTGACGTCACAAACGACCTTGTAACCAATCAGATCAACGTGTGATCGTCAACCAGTGGATCCAAGGAAAAACATTTAAACAGGCCTATGTCATTTAGGTGATCAAAGATGAGTTTTAAGGGATACAGTTATTGACTACAGTCACCGTCCCGTATACGGGACGCCTAACTTTACTTCGCTTTATTACTATTAAATCCTAATCTAATTATGACAAACTATATATGGTTGGAAAGGTCTAGGACTTCTAAATAGATATTTGACTGCTGTTTTTTGCTACAAATTATGTAGGAAGAGTAACCGATGAATTTTTGACAAGAGTGCACCTCAAAAAAATCTGCGTCATAACAGGAGTTCTGACCTTTGTCACAAAAAGTTGACGCACACACCTTTAATAATTGAAACTTTGGTTTTCATGCTAAAAGTTCATAATAAAACATATAATCTAGTATTTTTCAATAAAAAATTATAATATAATATTATCCTCTAAAAAGTAAAATATATATATTATCCTCTAAAATATAATATTATCTTTTTTATCGCCTTTTTTTATTACATCACATATTTTAGTAGTTATCATAAATTAGGTATCATTTGAAAGCTTACAAACTCAGAATTCATCCTGTGAAAACCGTTTTGAAATTGAACGTTGCGTTACCATAGAAACGGTACTCTAAATTATTTTATCAGGCTCCTCCCCTTTTGGGCATCATTATATTTCATAATTTATGATCAAAACCTTTTCTAATCCTGACAAAACACATATTGTCAGAAAGGTCTGAGTCTCAAGGTTCCACATTTTGTGACAGAATTGATATTTGGAAAGAAATGTATTAATTTGTTAAGGCAGAATGTATCCAACTAAATTCAATGGAATGTATGTCACCCGGTGGCTATTTTTAGTACTACGCCTAAACAAAATCTCATGGGAACTTCAATTTTTGTGATATCAACGTCAAATTTGGAACACAACTTGGTTAGATATATGGCTTTGATTTTATAGTAATTTTGGAGTAAAAAATATTTTGTAAAATATATATTTTTTATAAAATAAAAAATATATAGTACAGTATATTTGATTTACTGTAAATTTAAACTTACATAACTTTTTCATACTTTCATTTTTTGAAGTGTCTTCATTGCAGCAATAATCTGCTGAGTGTTTTCTTTAAAACAAGACCAAACTTGGGTATATATTCCAAAGCATTCTTGAATTACAACCATTTAAGTTTGAATAGTGCATTTTAACCCCCATTCTCAAAAAGGGGGGTGACAGCGAAGGGGTTAACAAGTTGGGGTTTTATGTCGCATTGCTCGAGAATTACATCAGATTGAGCTCAATGTCCTCTTTAAAGTAGATTAATTTAAGTCAAGCAATTAACCTGACTTTCTATCATAGACGATTTACCAATTTGTCCTTGCACATTTGGTCTCAAACAAACCATTAACGTTTTTTCTCATTAAATGTAGTTTCTGCTCATCACCATTTTGGTTAAATTGTGTCTTGTTCAAGTTTGATTCATTTGAGTTACACATGTATAAAGATATTCCCTCCTCAAATACTTTCACAGTTAGCCACTTTTTGCTAATAGTTTGCAGTGTCGCTTACCATATTTTCAGCTTGACTGTATTTAAACACTTTACTGTAAATTATGTGATACTTGTCACTTGGGAAGTTACAGTTTCAAAGCAGCAACCCCACAATGGAGAACAGAAAATGAACACACAAAACCTGGATACAAACAACATCTGCTATACAACCACATCCTTTTCAACACGTTCTGCAATAATGGTCACAGGAGAAAAGTGTGGCCTCAACAAAATGATTGTGTAAATATGATAACATTGTCCAGTTCTCCCATTTTTACTTTAGTAATTGATGTACACATAAACTATTTAACCCACAGCTTTGTAATTTTGCTTCAGACATCTTTGTCTTGTCAGAAGTCATCCAATTAGTCCATTCGTTACTCATGTTGTATAACTGCAATGGGGTTTAATAGTAAATCAACAAATACTATATTATATATATATTTATATAATAAATATTATTGTACACACTAGTATTCCTGTAGCTCAAACTGTACAGCAATGGTGCCAAAGTCATGATTCAATTCCCAAGGAATGCAAAAACTAATAATAATATTAATATTGCAATGTAAGTTGCTTTGGATAATTACATAAATGTACAAAATACACCCTCAAACTGTAGACATATCCTCTGCTTTAATAGCACCAGACTATTTGACTAAACTTGAAATCCTAAAGACGCACTTTATAAATTAGTAAAAAACATCAGCAGTCTCAAATCTACAATTCATGCAAACATGCAGATAGGAACTAGGAAGGGCTTTTTAAAAATATTCCTAACAAATCAGGGCAGAAAATGAAGACTAACACAGATACAAGTTTTGAAGGAAACATAAGCCTAGCACTAGGAGACCTAAAATGGCCATTTTGGCTGCATTGTGTATTACGTTATTAGCGGCGTTACATTTATTCCAGTTCCCCTCTATATTCTAGTACGGGTCTTATCAGCGCAATCCGTTTTAAACAACATGTTCCAGTCTAGCGCTTTCATAATCCCGTGTGATTTAAAACAGGAAATTCCCGTTTCATAATGAGGACAAATATGTGCTGTCCAGAATTTTTTTTTTTTTAAATGCAAGAAATTTACCAGAATACATAAACGAGAAGCTATCAGGAACTAGACATGGCAAAACGACATCTACTATCACAACTGGATAAAATGATGAAACTAACAAACAAACACACAGCACTAGGTTGTTGACTATTCCAGATAAATGGTAACGACGGTAATGAGATGCGTGTAGTCTCTGTTTAGCTAATTTCAGTTACTGTAAATAGTGACTGTACAATGGAGCAACAATGGCAAGTACAGAGAAGTTTCCCTCGCAGCATTACTCATAAGAGAAGAGCAGAGCGACCTGACCCTGAGCTAGCGAGAGAAACACCCGAGTCACACACACTCGCTGGAGCCCAGCATCACGACACGGCCCCGTACAGCAAACTGAGGGGAAAAACATCCGTGTGACAGACAGTGCAGGATTTTCCCGTCTTTTTTTTTAAAGTGGTCTAACGATATAGCTTTTTTAATATCTTTAGATGTTATGATTCTGATAACAACAGCACTTGAGATGCATATAAAATCACTGTGATGAATTTAATAGTTTTTACACTATAAGAGAAATATCACTTTTGGGTTACACTTTATTTTAAGGTGTCTTTGTTACACTGTAATTATACATTCCAGTACTGAGTAATATTAATTAACTGTAATTGTGCTTACTATAGGGTTAGTTGCATCATGTAATTATGCATAATTTATAGTTATTTCTACATTACGTGCAATGTAAGAATGACACTGCAAAATAAAGCGTTAGCCACTTTTGGTAACTGACCAAGAAGACCAAAAAAATGGGGAAATAGTGATTAATTATATATATATATACACACACATCAGCCTATTACTAGTTGTAACATCCAGATTATGAAGCATTTCCTGTGTTGGGTGTAATGTATTACTAAGTAATTATATTTACTGTAATTTAATTACGTTTCTCTTGAAAAAATGTAAAGTATGGAATTACTCTTTATTTTTCTGTATAGACTATAGAACAATTTTATATAAAGCAACAGTGGATTTAACATCAACGTTTAATGTTTACTGTTAAAATGTATGTTTTTAATGAAACCTTGTCCATTTGGTCAGTTCAAGAATAATTTGTGCAATTTTATATTATTTATTTGAAAGAATTAAAGCGGTCTCATGCCTATCCTTGTAGTGTTGATAGGTTGATTTGGGATTGAGAAAGTAATTATTATTAAGTAATGCAGTACTTTTTAGTGCAGAAACTAAAGATTGTAATTAGTAGCTGCTTTTTTAAGAGTAACACCCAACACTGAGCACTTCCCAAGAAGAATGATCTTAAGAGCATTGTATAAGACCATTGATGTATTATTAACTAATATAAACCAATACAAAGAGACTTTAACGTCGCCCTTTCATTGGAAGGAAACGTGACTTGCGCTCAAGCTGATAAAATCACAGCATAGTTACCATTGGTTCTCAGCGGCACCAGCTTCTTGACCTCACGGCACCAGTTCAACCTCTTCTCCTGCTCCAGCGAGCTTTGCATGGCCCTGTCCAAGATGGCCGCCTGGATGACCTCGCGGAAGGCCTGCGGGAACTGGCTCATGCGGATCATCTCCAGGGTGTAGCGATGCATGCTGCGCAGGTGATGGATCAGGCCGCTGCTGGACGAAGGCTTGACCACGTCATTGGGAACCCGCTCTCTGATTTTCACGGCCTTCAGGAGGTTACTCACGAACAGGAACTTGGGCAGGAAGTTCTGGCCCTGAGACATGGTGTCTGGAGTGGGGAACCAATCTATCACTGTGAAAGAAGACATGAAACAACAACACCATTGTCAGGAGCGCTCAACCCACGACCATGTGCAGCACACAAGAATTTCCCCTCATTTCCCTCCACCCTAAAGGTGAAGAACTGAAAGACTGATGGTGGCCCCTGAAAGCTAATGGTGTATTCCAGTCTCATGGTAAAGGGCCCTTGAGGTCAGATGAGTGAAAGGCGAAGATATTTATAAGTCCACCCCCACAATCAATTTTCCAAAACTATCAGAACAGGCGATAATAGATCATAGGTTCAGACCAAAATGCCATTGACTGCAAGGGCACCATTTATTTGTCTCGGCTCCCGGGGTTCTTTAGGGGGAACTTATTCAGACAGTGTTCCCTTAAATACCTCTCGCGAAATATTCGTGAGGAAAGCGACATCCCGTTTTATTAAACACAAAGCACAAAGGGGACAATAGAGACCGACGCGAAATATTAGGCTAGAAGAACATCAGTTGCTGACTTTCGAATTACGTAATTGCCTTGACAGAAGAAGCCGTTAGACAATGGAACACTGTAGCACTCGAACGGAAGCTATATGTCCCCATGGCAACAATAGAACGTTTTCTCCGTTAAACGTTCTTAATCGCTGATAAGTGACGTCTTCGCAAACAATGGCTGTCAAAATCCGTGGCGTTCAAGACCGTATCCGTCCGTACAAGAACCGCCTGGCGTTTGAGCTTAAAACAATATGGGAGAAATCAAGCTCGCTTGCTTTAGGAAAGAGTCTAAACGCGACATTAGAGAGGCGAGGGAACGGGCAGCGATGAATCGGACAACTCTTACCTGTTCAATATGTCGGTATCCACCAACAAAGCCCATAAGATGCTCTGGCTCTGCTGCTACTTCACTCAGTCCACTTTAATCGTCCATGGCGCTTTCAGAGATCCACTGGATTACACAGCTCGCTTGAGACGCGTCCAAAACACGGCAAAGTATACGCTCTAGTTCAGACAGCCCGATTGATACCAGTACATAAAAGCCAGTAGGGGATTTCCATAAGGTACTTTCCACTTTCACAACCCATTATGAGCGTTTTCTCTTCGTCTTCTCCGCCAGGGGGAGTCAGTCAGTGCGCGAGTGACGCTGAACGCTTACGTTACGTGCGAGTCGATGACGTAAAGCACGACGTTTGATTCGCCACACCCATAGCTGGTAGTTATGTGAGATATGGAAACATAACAACACTGGAAGTCCCAGCCTGTGCATTTTACAAGCATGTATGTTCTAGTTCCATTTAATGTAAAGTATGAATGTGCATTACAAGAAATGAATTTTTATGGGGTAACACAAGGGTCATTCTGTCAATTTTTCATTTGTGACTTTTAAAGTAATTCAATCAAACAAGGGTTACACTTTATTTTAAGGTGTCATTGTTATAGTGCAATTATATATTTAAGTAGCCTAGTAAGTAATATTAAGTAACAACATGTAGCCTACTTTCTATAGGGTTAGATTAGGATTTGGTTGACGGTTAGTTGCATGGAATTATGCATAATTTACTGTTATTACTATGGTAAATGTAACATGTAACAAGGACACTGCAAAATAAAGTGTTACCCAAACAAGTATAATGTTTGTGTTCATTCATGGCATTGTGCCATCCTCACTCTGTCATCATGACTTCAGAAAGGTAACAGGGTTGACAGTAACAACCCGAACGTTTTCAGAAATAATGTTCTCTCAAAGTTATGATCAACGTTCTTCTAGTAACATTACTATGTTTGTTCAAAGTTCTGATCTTTAATAATATTCTCAAAACGTTAGCACAAAAACTTTATTTTTTTGGTAACACTTTACAACAACGTTCATTAGTTAACATTAGTTAATTATATGAATAAAAAAACAAATAAAAAAACAATGATCAGCTGTATTTTTATTAACTAACATTAACAAAGATTAATAAATACTGTAACAAATGTATTGCTCATTGTTAGTTCATGTTAATTCATATAGTTAACTAATGTTAACTAATGAACCTTATTGTAAAGTGTTACCGTTTTTTCTTAAATGTTTTAGTACGTTCCCTTTTGAAATGTTACCACTTGTTTCAGAATGTTCAGAGAACATTCTAAAGTAACATTCCAATGATGTTTGAAGAATGATAAAATGGAATTTTTCTGTACGTTTTGCACATTCATAGAACATTCAGAAGTAATGTTTTCATAACTTAATGGAAACATGTAAGTGAAACGTTTTTAGAGCTTTTGTTAGCTGGGAAGATTGACAGTTTAATTCAATATTAAAGCGCAAGGAAACTGCAAGATACTCTTAGAAAAATAATTTAATGCTGCTATTATACAAATATTCACATTTCAATTGTTTACTCTAAAATCTTGGTATGGGGTTAATATAGGGTCCCCTAACTAACTTGAACTTGTTCTTAAAGAGTTCGTTTATTAGTAGATTACCTGTACCCCGGTAAACATGTATATAGAATGAATAAAGACTGCTAGCTTATATTCTGTATTTAAAAAAAAAAAAAAAAGTTCACACTTTATGATAGACACAAAGAACGCCCATTTTGCAGAATGACGAGGCAGATTTACTAGGCGAATCATAAAGATTCATATAGTGCATGATGATGATGATGATGTGGGTGTAAAGTTTAGAGTGCATGTCATTCAAGAGAACTTGATCAGAAGTTCCCATCAAAAATAGTGCAATAAAGAGTGAGTGACATTTCATTTCTCGCCATGGTCATTCATTCTTCATATTCAATACATTCCAAATGTCTTGGTAACACTGGCTAACACCTTAGATTAATAACACGAAGAAACATCTTTACATTCTGCTAAACTAGTGCTCTTTCTCAAAACTTTAAATCCTTTGACATGCCCTGGATTCATTGTGCCACTGTTTGACAGAGATACTGAAGATTTATATTTCTTAATGCTCTACTATACACAAATCAACTATGATATAAGAGATTTCAGCCATACATAAAAGAACATATATAACATATTAAACTAAGTAGAAATACATTTCTATAGACCTGACACCCTGCAGCGCCTCAAACCCCGGCTTTAGTTCTTTTACCATGAAATCTGAATCAACACGTCTTGTTATTTCATAGAATATTGCAGTATTTATTATAAATTATTAATCCGTGTAAATGCTTATTTTTAAACAACCTCTGACTCACATGAAACACTTGCAGCAAACAGCAAACGACAGCGATCCAATCAATTCCTGGCAGTTTTCCTCATCCAAAAAGCTGTTTCACTCAGATATATACAGTACGTCACTTTAAAGGGAACTAAATGTGTAAAGTGCACATCCTGTAACCCAATGAGAAATATACAGAAATCCCTCCAAAGGAAACTGAAGAATAACAGTTATTGCATTAGTTTACTTCCATTCATTTGCATGGAAACACCATATGATGTATGTATGGGAAAAGCATTACGCAAAGATAACGTTCCTTTTGATTTAAAGAGAAATTACTGTAGAAAATGCCCCAACAACTGGGGCCTTTTAAACATCAATGACTAAATAACTGTTTGATTTTTGATGTTGAAATCTTCTATTTTGATTTCTATTACATTTCTGCTTACACTTTATTTTGATGCTCCCTAACAGACTTTCTATAGTAACTTTGCAACTGCACATCAACTTATTCCACTAACCCTTACAGTCTAATACTAATGAGAGTTAGTCGATGCGGTGAAACATTACTTATAGTCGACAGAATGTGTTAAAGGGGACCTTCGGATCAAAGTTTTATGATATAATGATAATTTATGATATAATTAGATATAACAATTTGTGTTATGATATAATGTTAGACCTCACCTTACACAGAGGTGGGTTTCATACTAGTTTTTAATGATGTAAATGTCGAGGGATTTTTTTTTTTAATTAATAATTTTCCATCTGTGCCCTTCAAGCTTTCCCTCATTGAAACGTCATCATCATCACGTCACTGAGAAGTTTCCCAGTAGGGAGAGAGCAAGAGAAGAAGAGCACCTTCATTCTCAAGGGCCGATTCAGCTTCACCCAGATCTATTACTGTGTCCAAAAACAGATTCGATGTTCAAATCCTTTTCAGAATTGAAATTCACTTACGGTATTTATCGTGGCGCTTAAAGTGTCTAAATTAAGGGTAACACTTTACAATAAGGTTCATTAGTTAACATTACCATAACAATGAACAATACATGTGTTAGTATTTATTAATCTTTGTTAATGTTAGTTAATATAAATCCAGCTGTTCATTGTTTGTTCATGTTAGTTCACAGTGCATTAACCCCTTAGCTGTCACCCCCCTTTTGAGAATGGGGGTTAAAATGCACTATTCAAACTTAAATGGTTGTAATTCAAGAATGCTTTGGAATATATACCCAAGTTTGGTCTTGTTTTAAAGAAAACACTCAGCAGATTATTGCTGCAATGAAGACACTTCAAAAAATGAAAGTATGAAAAAGTTATGTAAGTTTAAATTTACAGTAAATCAAATATACTGTACTATATATTTTTTATTTTATATAAAATATATATTTTACAAAATATTTTTTACTATAAAATTACTATAAAATCAAAGCCATACATCTAACCAAGTTATGTTCCAAATTTGAAGTTGATATCACAAAAATTGAAGTTCCCATGAGATTTTGTTTAGGCGTAGTGCCAAAAATAGCCACCGGGTGCCATTGAATTCCATTGAATTTAGTTGTAAACATTCTGCCTTAACAAATTAATACATTTCTGTCCAAATATCAATTCTGTAACAAAATATGGAACCTTGAGACACAGACCTTTCTGACAATATGTGTTTTGTCAAGATTAGAAAAGGTTTTGATCATAAATTATGAAATATAATGATGATGACCAAAAGGGGAGGAGCCTGATAAAATAATTTAGAGTACCGTTTCTATGGTAACGCAACGTTCAATTATAAAACGGTTTTCACAGGAGGAATTCTGATTTTGTAAGCTTTCAAATGATACCTAATTTATGATAACTACTAAAATATGTGATATAATAAAAAAGGCGATAAAAACATAATTATATTTTAGAGGATAATATATATATATATATATATATATTATAATGTTACAGGATAATATTATATTACAATTTTTTATTGAAAAATACTAGATTATATGTTTTATTATGAACTTTTAGCATAAAAACAGAAGTTTCAGTGATTAAAAGTGGGTGCATCGACTTTTTGTGACAAAGGTAAGACCTCCTGTTATGATGCAGATTTTTTTAGGTGCACTCTTGTCATAAATTCATCAATTACTCTTCCTACATAATTTGTAACACAAAACAGGGGTAGAATATCTATTTAGAAGTCTTAGACCTTTCCAACAATATATAATTTGTCATAATTAGATTAGGATTTAATAGAAATATAGTGAAGTAAAGTTAGGCGTCCCGCTAGCGGGACGGTAATGTTAACAAATACAACATTTTATTTTAATAATGTATTAGTAAATGTTGAAATTAATATTAACTAAGATTAATAAATGCTGTAGAAGTATTGTTCATTCTTAGTTCATGTTAACTAAGGTAGTTACTAATGTTAACTAATGAACCTTATTGTAAGTTGTTTCAAAACATTTTATTTTGATTTGTTTATGACACGGTTTATTTTCAAAAGCCAATTGTTTGAACAAATATCATGTTTTCCGATATCCATTCCTATTGCATTGTCAGGAAAACGTATTCATTCAAAAATCATAAAAAGAAACAAAAAGCCTTTGGAAAATTAGTTGATTAGGATGTTACCATGTATTCAAGGTATAATTGTATGATTCCACCATTAAATCTTAGATATTTGTTTTCTAGATATTAAAAAAAATCAACTTTTAATCTTTATTTTTGATATATCTTCATCATCTTGGACATTATTTTTAATTAATTCTGAAACGAAAACTCAGAATATTTACTGTATTCCTGCATGACACTGTAAGGCAGCAATTCTCATCAATATGCCATGAATCATTTTGAATATTGTAAACCTTTTCAGGTTTTCCCAATTCACTTGACCACACAATCAGCACAGATTGCCTCAAAGCCTTAATACGACACACAGAAGTTTGCGGTGAT